GGCGGGGAAGGGCAAGAATATTGCATTATTTGCAACAGCTTACATTTTGCGCAAAGTATTGTAGAGGCACTGGCAGTCACTAGATGTGCTCCTTAGGTAGCAACCCTAGAAGATTTTATATTCAGCCGACTCATAACATCTTAGTCGTGATGTACATAAATAATAATAATAATAATAGCAATAATAATAATAATAATAATAATAATAATAATAATAATAATTATGTACTAATACAATTTTAGAATTGAAATAATTTCGTGTTTTTTATGTTTTACCTATTCAGTAAATATGAAAGTATTTTCATGAGTAATCTTTAATTCTTAAAGTGGATTGCTGGAAGATCCTTCACTACGTCGATATGTATATCAACTTAAACACGATAATAGTGTTTCCGTACCCATTAATGGCTGTGATTATTACTCCCGTACGTGTAGTGCATATTTATGCAATGATAGATGTTATTCCCATTCTGGGTGATGATATTCAGTGCCGTCATATACGTCTGCTTGCAGGGTTTTCTCACTTTAGCTGTCTCTCACTGGTGGGACACGCTCTAAGCTCCGAAAAGTACCGATCAGAGCAGCCGGCCGCTAGAATTTTCGAAACAGCACATGAACATTTGGCTTGTGTCCAAAATCCTGTCACCACCAGGACTGAACTCTGTTACCTCTTGGTCACAGGCAAGGCAATGATACGTGTTGCTATTGGGAGCCACTTCGAGGATTGATTTGGACGTTAGCATTTATTGGGATTTTATCCCCAATGATGGGTTTCTATTTGCGCTGTTACACTATGATAGATGAACTTGAAGGTTTTATTTCAAATGCGTCATTATTAGGAGTAGTAAAAGCCAGTGCCAACCTGCTTCATGAAAACGAACATTTACGACGCCTCTAATTTTACGAATGGGCTGTTCCAGTAGAACTACTCATACGCCGATTTTCCGTGCCACGCATGAGTTATGCCTGTTCATCCTTTCGTGTCTAGCTTTGTTATTCCCTTCATTAACATCATCTGCTAACTCTTCCGCCCCCTACAAGTAAGGAAATTTTAGGAACCGCCTCTTGTTCATCGTCATTTTCACTGCTTCTTCGCCTTCAGATCAATTCTTTCCTAATTTCATCCTATTCGTGCATATTCGTGACTTTCATGCTATAATATCACGGCCACCTCCACTATCATGGCCACATCCACCTTCTCTGTCAAGGCAACCTCCACAGTCACGTACACCTCCACAATCTCGGCTGCTTCCACCTCCCTCATCACGGCCACCTCCAGTCGCATCAATCTGCAGTATCACAGCCACCTATACATAGAGTACCACGGCCACCTCATCCACCACGGCCAGCTCTGCCACTATTGCCACCACATCCTCTTCCCCCACATTCGTCATCGCCTTCAGCTTCGTCCGTCTCCATGTGCTTTTCAAATCCACCCCCACATCTCCCCTGCCCGCGCCGGCTGAGCTTTGGGTAACGCCCGCCCGGGCGCAGCACGGCGCTGCCGGGGCGCACGTTTCGAATTAGCGTGTTTCCTGGCGACGACGCCAAGCATATCCCAGCGCTCCCAGCTCCCCGCCACGCGCCGCCCCGCCCGCCGCCCCGCCACCGTGCGCCTGCCCTCGCGTGGCCACCCGCTCGTGCCGCTCGTCCCGTTCTCAGTCCCGCTCCGCGCGTACCGCTCTGCTCGCCACCCCTCCCTCCTGGTCCGCGCCACCGCTCCGCCGACCCTCCGCCACCGCCCGAGGCCCCGCCCCGCGACAGGCCGCGCGCGCGCCCAGACCCACTGTGCCAGCCCGCCCGCCGAGCCCGGCCCCGGCCGCGCCCTCCCGCCCGGCGCGAACGTGCCCGCAGTGTTTGCATGCTGCGCGCGCGCGCTTGCGGCCGCGGCGGAGCAGCGGGAGCGAGAGATCTCGCAGAATGATGCGGTTTTCCGCTCCGCGCCGCTGGCGAAAGGGATAGAAGTTTGAAGGGAGAATAAGAACTGGGAAGGGACGCGGAGAAAGGGAGGAGGAAGGGCAGAGGTTACGAGATGGCGCGTGTGCGGTAGTCGCTCGAGGAAAATCGTGTTGGATGGAAGGCTGCGGATGCGAAATGGTATTGTGAGTGTGTAATGAGTTTTGTAATTGATTTGGTGTTTTGAATATTGGGTGGGTGCGTGGGTGGGAAGCCTCATTGTGCAGTTCAATTAGTGGATTGTGGTGATGCGAATTCTTCATAGGCATACGTGATGAGAATGAGACATCATTATCTATGTCTATGCAAACAATCGGAGAATTATTAAACTATTTTATCTTCTTGTGTTGTAAAATTTTTATCGCTTTCTCACGGAATACCAATACCAATAGAGTGCTGCCAACCAACCAATAGAGTGCTGCTATTGGTAATTTAAGGAAACTTTTCTTTATAATTCGTGTTCATAATTTGAATGAATTCGGTTGCATTTTATTGCGTTCCAGACAAATATAATGAACGTATAAAAATACATAATGACAAGATAAATAGATCCATCTTGCCAAACTGCGATAAAAGATAATGCATTGGGCTGAGCTTTGAGAAAAAAACATGTGACGAGCACCCATTGGTATTTTAATTTTTGCTTCAATGAGGAGAGCAGTTGCTTGTTATGATGGGAACCATGTTACAGGAGAAACAATAAGGGGCATTTAAATTGTTAATAAAAGGATCGCATAACAGTGATGTGATGTACATTCACGATGGCTAATAGTAGACCAGATAAGCATACTTAGCACTGTGCGGAATTCGTTGAAGGATTTAAGGAAAAACATATTCATATAACAAATCGTATTTACGTTTGTGGAAATTAAACTAATGGGCTATAATAGTCTCTACAGACTATCTTTCGAGAGGTAGCTGCTGTTAGTCTGACGATAACGTTCTTGTTGAATGCGTAGCCAATATATGCCATGAGAAATAAGACACATTACACATCTCACGCCCGAAGCTATTCACAAACTTGCGTATCCATCCATGTCGTGTGAATTACCATTCTCGAAAGTTAACAGGGTTTGATTCCGTAGTTACTCCCACATAGTTTCCGTGTTTAGTCGATAGTTCTTGTTCGGCCGAAGTTTCCGCTCCGTACGCTTCGTCGGCAGAGCTGCCAAGTCGCTCCATTGCGTCCGCCCCCGCGCTTCCATCGCCGCCACCGCCTCCCAACACGGCGCGCGTCGTCCCCTACTTCCATCGCCTCCGCGCCATTGTCTCCTCGGCTATCGCTGCGGCTTTGTTGTGCGTCTCTTGACGGACGCAACTCCGCCTTACCTCGCAGCACATGCCTTGTAGCTCCTCGCTTCCTTACAGACGTATTTTTTTCTTGTCCTCTTCGCCAATGTCGCTTCGGCGTGTGTGGCTTCAGGGTCAGCGGACAGTGTTTTTAATTCTGCTAAATGCAACACCAGGCTCTATTATCTCGCATCGTCCGCTACATGCCGTGTTACAAGGTAGCATGTCCCTTTGTTCCCATGACCCGTAATCACCGACTTTGCTGAGGTATACATTCTACCGTGTTTCTCCTACACAACGCCTAATTCCAATCTGTCACATCAAAAATCGTATTATCCCCACCCTATTTCATCGTGGCATCAAAATTATCTCTTTTCTTGCTTGCTCATTTGCTTTTTAATGTGTTCTCAAGATATGTTCCGTCGTCGCACACGTATTGCGCGACCGTTTATCTTCCCGACTATATAGTGTCCTCCGATTGATCGTTTTTATCTTACACTGACCCTTCCTTCGTCTTCGCCCGGCCAACGCTGAATACAGCTCCCATGATCCGCTTTCTTATCGCTTGGCCTCCGTCCCCTTGTCCCTGCGTACCTTCGCCCCCATCTCCACCCCTGCCCGCGCCTCGCGGCCGCGGTCCTGT